TTAGCCGAAGGACGGCTGGGATCTCCCTATAGTTTTTCATGGGCAAACAAAAATGGAAGGCTACATTTGGGATCTCAGATGTGGCTGGAAAGATATGCCCGGTGTTCATTTCAAGCCGAAAACATTTACATAGCTGGTTAGTTCCGATTAGGGATTTGTAAAAGAAGAAGGGACGCTGAACTTTAGGGCTTAGACCCCTTGAGCGCCCCAAGCAGAACAGTTTTAGACTGCCCTCCCTAGTAATTTCCCCTGGTCTCTGTGTAGCGAGATAGGACGCTCGTGTGTATTGTTGCGCATGTAACAATCCGTTGGCGGTTGAAAATCGAACAGAGTAGCCTAATTCCCGGGCAAAATTTGCAGTTTAAAATCTTTCCAAAGTATTTCAGGATCCTCGTCGGTGCTATGGAGTTCGTGCACTGCGCTGAGATTCTTCGCTCAGGCTGAAGTTAAAAGCAAAACGGAACACATATGGGTTACTACCCTTGTGCTATGATGTTGATGCGTTGTTTAAAACTAAACCTAATCGCAGTTCAATTTTTAAGTAATTATTTATATATTCACTTAGTAATTCTGGGGTGTTGGGTTCAATCCCAGCTTCGGGCGATTTAGCAGCAGACCACCTTGCTTTGGTTTCCTCAGTGGTATCCAGAAACGATTATTCAATAATCAATAGCGAAATAGTGGCGTCCGTGGCTAAGGCGTTGCAAGTCCGACTAGTAATACCAACGTACCATGATCAAAACCCACTGTTGGCTGCGTGGATTTTTATCATGGTATGGGGCGTCGCAGGTCGACCCAGCCTAAAATGGGTACCAGGATGGGTACCTTAGAAAGTAAAGACGGCCGGCGTAATGCTGACCACATTACCCACAGAGTGCTGATGGTCTGTAAAATATATGGGCGCTCTTCCCATATGCCCGATACGCCTAAAGGCGTGAGAAGGGATCTTTACTTTTACTATTTTATAGCGAAATAGGGTTTGTGAACATACACGGGGATACTAGGAGTCTAACAATTGATGACTTGTTTTGGTCATCTGAGGGGAATGCCCTGGTACAAACTACTACAGAGAGCCACACTAAAGAAATATAATGACCACAGAGCAGGAAGAATACCACGCAAAATAGGGAAATATGATACAAAGAACAGCCTTAAAAATATCAAGATTGACTTACACTACGCATCTGAAAAAGCACATAGTAGAACCAGACATCTTGTTGCTTGTTACTCGTCCAAATCGATATACTAGCACATCGGTTTGACCCATTCGTACTCCGTCCTTGGATAAAGCAGCTATTTGTGTATCCAGCTCGGCTCTCTATCGTGGCTGGTTAAACCCGACTTTCGCGGCGGCCGGGTGACGAACTCCTTGTGGTCCGGGGTCACTCACGGGGGTAGGCCGAAAAGCCACATTTCTCCCAGATTAAGGGTACCTAAAATGGAATCAAGGCCGAAGAGTTGCGATATCCATAGTGCCGAGCCAAAGGGTTTACAACTCATGGTTTCTGGATACTTAAAATCGGTGTATCCATGCTGAATGTATCCAGAAGCAGTTGACTGGGATAGCTTATTTTGTTACCCAGCAACCTACTTCTACATGCATTGTCGTTTAACACCAAATTCCCAACATGCGGTTTATCATCTCTGACTCTACTTTCTCGACATCTCTGGAATACAGCGCATTTATGGTGTCCTTACACCTGTCAAAGGAGCAAAGTCTCACTTGTGATATGTCACTGGTTTGGAGACATGGCAGACCTATGTAAGCTTTGTGACCTGTGTCAGATAATGCACGAAACATTGCTGGATGATCTGTGACATGTCAGTTTCTGTCATGGTTGTACTGGGTTGGCTATAGAGTAGATGGTCTCTAGACTGTAACCGGCAGTATGGCTAGATTGTAGCCGGTGTTTGGCTGATTATTTGTAGAGAAGGCGTAACTAGTTGGGTCTTTTTCTTCTTCTGCCTTTCTATCCCCCAATGGAGCATAGGCCCTCAAACAACTCACGCCAAGTCGTTCTATTCTTCGCCATTGCATGGAGCTCTCCCCATGTCCTCCCAATCTTTCTAACCTCATTCTCCAGCTCTCTTCTCCATGTGTTTTTTGGGCCTTCCTTTATTCCTATGCCCCTGTGGGTTCCAATGCAAATACATTCTAGTTATGCTGTTCTCCTGTTTTTTCAGTGTGTGCCCTATCTAACACCAGCGTCTTTTCCTCACCTCCTGCTCCACTGGAGCCTGTTTAGTTCTCTCCCAAAGTTCTACATTAGTTATTCTATCATACCATTTTATTCCCTCTATTCTGCGCAGGCACCAGTTAATGAATGTCTGTAATTTATTAGTATAGTTGGGTAACTAGTAATAAATGATTAATAGCAATGAAGGTGATTCTAGGAGTAGCTAGTTTATCATTGAGTATAGAAGGTTCTGCTGTTAGTTGCAATGACCTGTTGAACTATGTGAGGTTTTATAGTGTGAGGAAGTTCTGTTTATAACTTAGTGTAACATTTTTTACATCAATGTCGTTTCGGTTGTGTAATATGAGATATAAGACTTTGTAATTCTGTTTCTTAATAAACATAAATGTTAGTTGTTATTCTGTTATTCAATCTTTAGTTTGTTAAGTATAGGAATGGTACTATTATTTAGTTGTTGTAGTCTTTATACCAATTTTACCATTCTACTCTCTTTCATATCTCCACTGACGATTACCTGATCGTTTGGGGTGTAGACTTATTACTACACTCACCACATAGGAGAACCTGTTGTCCTCTCATACATCCTTTAACTATTATTTCTTCTCGTCTGTCTCTCTCTGCACTTTTATATATCTTCTCTTCTTCTATCCCATTTAAAATGTACCTTGTTACACATCGCCCACCAACACTTCAATGAGGTAACGGGCGCAGGAGGAGGAGAGTGAGGAAGAAGAAGAAGTTAGCCTCAGCTCCGTGTTGGCTGAAAGTAGTCCCTGTACTAGCTACTACTTCCTTTCCATTTCATTGTGCTGGGTAATCACACGTATATGCAGAAGCCAGCTAGAGACAAAGATACATTGCACCTGGTTTTATCCCGTATGGCCCAGTCTCTCTTTGCAGAACAGCTAGCTGCCTGTCGAGATCGAGAGCGTCGCACATAGCACGACCTCCGTATCTCCGGTGACGATCCACACGGATCTCCATAAAACTTGCACTCGTGAACTGAACGGCGCTCCATGAAACGAACACGCTATCTTCAGAGCGCGATGCAATCGGCTTGACTACTTCGCCACGAAGACTGTAAAAGCACCCTCTTCAAGTAGATCAAACTACATCAAATCGAATCTGTTTTAATGTCTGATCTCCAGTCCCAATTATACACAGAAACAATGTCGAACACATTCAACTTGCTTCAGACAGCTTTTGCAGCGTTCAGTTATATTTGTGGTCTGCTTTATTGGTGCCAAGTGTATTGACTGATATTTGTGTATTTGTGCCTGGGTTGATGGCTTAATGTCACTGTCCGAGTATATTGTCCTTCCCTACATGTTTGGCTTCCATTTTCAAGAATTAGGGCTTGAACTTCTGTCTCAACCACCAACGGGCCTTGTTGTTTGCAATCTTTACCCAGTTTTATGCAGACTGAAAAGGATATACCCAGCTCTGCTGGCACTAGTATCTTCTACAACCTCATCCACCACACAGCTACAAGGAAACCAAAACAGCGCTAAAGCAGTCTTTCAAGCGGGAGTGGAGAAGGCAGAATGGAGATTACAGACCAGAGAGTGACAGCATTAACAAACTCAACAAGAAAGAACAAACATCAATTTTTAGACTTCGGACTGGACACTGTGGTCTTCGGGCACACCTGTACAGAATAGGCATAAAAGAATCTGCTGCCTGTGATTGTGGAGCAGAAAGACAGACCTCTGCACATACTGCAGTACTGCCCTTACCTCTCCCAGCAAAGACTGTGGATCTGGCCTAGGGGATCCACATTGCGAGAGAAGCTATGGGGGACCGGAGGCGACCTTAAACGCACAATCCTATTTGTGACCCAGACGGGACTCAATGTTTAGCATGACTGATGTCGAACGCAGAAGAAGAAAAAGTCTGGCCCACCCAGGATTTTTCTCTTTTCAGCCTGACACCCTTCTTCTTGCGAATCTCACTGTACAATGGATGGTGTGTATCAGCACTGATGCGAAGATACGCACGTGCTCGACAAATCTGTTCTCACGTCCATGGGTGGAAAATCAAGGAGGTAACGCATCGCTCTGCATGCCGTATTTTTTGTGCATCCAAGTATGATCGCATGGCCTAATTCTGTATCCGATCTAGTCTGTCTGTCTGTGTGCGGCTAAGAGTCAGAATCGCCAGAGCGTACTCAAATTACAGAAAGGATCAGACCCTGGTAAAGATTTCATCAGACTCTTTGATATGGTAATCATACTTAAGTCCATAATTTATCACCGACTGGATCCCATGCTGGAACACTGTGAAAAACTTTTATTTTTTAATATCCAGAAACCATGAGTTCTTAACCCTTTGGCTCGGTATTATGGATATCGCAATACTTCGGCCTTGATTCCATGATAGGTACCGTAAATCTGGTAGAAATTTCGCTTTTCTGCCTTCCCCGGGAGTGAACCCGGATCACAAGGAGTTCGTCACCCAGTAACCGCGATGTCAGGTTTAACCAACTACGCTAGAGAGCCGGGATGAACAACTTTGTTGCATGTCCATTGCTGTCATAATCTTGAGAGCACTGAGTCATTTTTGTCATTTTACCCTAATTGTAACCTTCAAATACAGGTTGAACAGGGTCAAATCCTAGAGAGAAGGGTGGGGGGTGACCCTCTCCATTTGCTTGTACCGGGAAGGCCGCGCATGCGCAGAAGCCGCTCGGAAACAGACGTCTGTAGTCAGCTATCGCTTCCGTCTTGTAGCGATATCCCTCCCCTCTCTCATCTTCCACCGGTTTACACTCTAATAAATACCACTTTCGAGCACGGAGCTACCATGGCTCGAGAATATGACCATTTGTTTAAGTTACTGATTATCGGGGACAGCGGTAAGACAGTTTGTTGTTTTGATATGTTCAATGTTGCTCATTGCGTCTGCTATATGTTCCGTGTACTGTATGAATGTGGTTGTTGTTTTCGGCTGTCTTTTGCTTTTGCACTTTTACTTTTATGTTTGTGTTTTAATTTTATGTTTGGTAAGGGACTGGTGTCTCTTGCTAAGAAATGTGTCGACTGGATAAGACATTTACATTAATTCAGAAAAAAATCAGAAATTCGTAAGCAAAAGGTATAACGACAATATTTATAATAAATTAGACGCTCAATCATCAATCAGTTAAACGTACATTTACGAAGGCTCTTACGACTTGCTACTTCTTAGACTTAGACAAGTCCAGTATTTCTTGCTCTTGTTTAGTATTGTCATTGAATAGGATAATGACAGTTACTGTTACTTGAGGAAATTTGCTCACATTCAGTAAGAATGCTATTACTTAAAAACATAAAGTAATGACGATAAACATTATTGAAATAATATAATAATATACCATTTTCTATTCACAACTATGTTTATATGATTTAAGTTTAAGAAGGAGCTCTCCTCTGAACTTCTATCCCACATTATGGCGGCCAAACAAATATCCTAACAGGGCCTCAGTCCCATTAAAAATGCGGACTTCTCGGGCTTCCTGTCGAGCGGCAAAACTAGGATTGGCTCCGCATAACAAAACAAATGCTCTAACAGGGTCTCAGCGATATGTTAATTGGGGACCTGTCTCTGTGACTATGCCTTACCGCCGACCGTATCCCCCACGCGCGCTATGGGCGGTGCGGATGGGGACTAAACTAAATGGCTGGGACTCACGAGCAGCAGCTACTGCATCTCCTGCAACTTCATCAAATTTATTTGCTCGTGAGTCCCAGTTTAGCCCCCCATCTGTGCCCGCGTATTGGCACGGGGGATACTGTCGGCAGTGAGTGTAACCGCGTTTTGCGCATGCAGAAAAGTTTGAGAACAGCAACGACACTAATCTGCATCAGCGCGCATGGTCTCCCTGCCATGTCGCTTTTATCGTCTGTAATGTTGCGTGCCTCGAAATTGTCAATGGTCGCTAGTATCATCTGCTAGTATCATATGCAGAAACGCTCGAAAGTGTCAGCGGTCACTATTATTGTCTGCTACTATCTTCTGCAGTGTTGCATCTCTTGAAATTGTCAGGTGATCCTAGTTTGGCCACGATTCGTTCGTCGCCGCAAGTCCGCATATTTTTAATAGGACTGAGGCCCTGTTAGGATATTTGTTTGGCCGCCATAATGCCGGGGTAGAAGTTCGTAGGAGAGCCTAAGAAGGTATTCAGACTAATGCAATGTTTCTTGTTTAGACTTAAGAAATGTGTTGATTAGGTGAGGAAATTTACATAAATTCAATAAGAATGCAGGAATCCTCATGGGTAGAAAGGCATAATTTATAAAGTCACTTAACTAAGACCAATATACTTATTTAGTATACTTTTCACTCAGTCTTGCTTGAAATATGTTGATTAGTAGAGAAGGTGTACAAAGTACACAAATTCAGTAAGAATTAAACAATTTTAAAGCATATGTTAATGATGTTATAGTTTATTAAAATAAGAGACCCTCTGTATTCATGCACTTTGTCATATATCCCGTCATCTTCTTGTGATGCAATTTTTCTCTATTTTGAAGCCCCACCAAACCTCTTGCCGCAATATAGCCCGACCATAAATATGGTCTAATGGCTGAACGCGATTTTTGCAACCTCTCCATGGTTGATCCTCATCCACATGGTAGCACTCTGTGTCATCGGGTGTTTATCGCTTGTGTGATGTCCTAGTGGGGTAAAAATCTACTACTACTAATCATGCATAGAACCAGCTAGAGCCAGCTTTAAACACATCTTGTGATTGTAACAGACTTACCAAGCAAGTTGAGATAGGTGGAGACAGGTATCCTCCATGCATAGAACAAGCTTGAGGGCCAACTTTACACACATCTTGTGATTGTAACAGACTTACCAAGCAAGTTGAGATGGGTGGAGACAGTTATCTTCCATGCATAGAACCAGCTTTACACACATCTTGTGATTGTAACTGACTTACAGAGCAAGTTGAGATAGATGGAGACAGGTATCCTCCATGCATAGAACCAGCCTGAGAGCCAACTTTACACACATCTTGTGATTGTAACTGACTTACCAAGCAAGTTGAGATGGGCAGAGACAGGTATCCTCCATGCATAGAACCAGCTTGAGAGCCAACTTTACACACATTTTGTGATTGTAACTGATTTACCGAACAAGTTGAGATGGGCAGAGACAGGTATCCTCCATGCATAGAACCAGCTTGAGAGCCAACTTTACACACATCTTGTGATTGTAACTGACTTACCAAGCAAGTTGAGATGGGTGGAGACAGTTATCTTCCATGCGTAGAACCAGCTTTACACACATCTTGTGATTGTAACTGACTTACCGAGCAAGTTGAGATAGATGGAGACAGGTATCCTTCATGCATAGAACCAGCTTTACACACATCTTGTGATTGTAACTGACTTACCGAGCAAGTTGAGATAGATGGAGACAGGTATCCTCCATGCATAACGGTAAGCATTGCTTCAGAAGTCCAGGATAGTTAGCATCCTTTGGATATTTTGTCAATGTGTTGAAAAGTGAAAAGGCGGATGAATCAGCTGGCTTTGCAGCACTTGGTGGTAAATTGATGCATGACAAGCTGGATGTTGTATTGTAACGACCCTTTGGGAGAAAGTAAACTGCGTGGGGAAAAATAAGATCACAGTCTAAAAGAATGGCGCAACAAAGTGATCAGGGAATCTGACTGACTCTCTACACTCATGGGAGGGCCAAGATGGGCAATACAGTCAGAATGGTCCTGGTACGGTCGGAACTATAACCGCACATCCTGCTGATTATTGTCCCAAGAACTTTGATATTGGTTCCTAACTCGTAATTTATCAAAAGAAGAATTATATACTGGCTTCAGGCATCATAAGCCAATGTTTTTCTCTCTGGTTCCTAACTCATAATTTATCAAAAGAAGAATTATATACTGGCTTCAGGCATCATAAGCCAATGTTTTTCTCTCTGGTTCCTAACTCATAATTTATCAAAAGAAGAATTATATACTGGCTTCAGGCATCATAAGCCAATGTTTTTCTCTCTGGTTCCTAACTCATAATTTATCAAAAGAAGAATTATATACTGGCTTCAGGCATCATAAGCCAATGTTTTTCTCTCTGGTTCCTAACTCATAATTTATCAAAAGAAAAATTATATACTGGCTTCAGGCATCATAAGCCAATGTTTTTCTCTCTGGTTCCTAACTCAACTCATCAAAAGAAGAACTATATACTGGCTTCAAGTCATGATAAATCAAGGATTTTCTGCCTTTTGCTTGCCTTGGTTTTTTTAGTTTGGTAAGTGACTGGTCTTAGTTGCTTAGACTTAGAAATAAGCCAATTTAATAGGAAAATTTAATAGATTCAGAAAAAATATATCAGTTATGTCAAAGCTTAAGGTATTGAATATTGTTTAAAAAAAAACTAAATACCATCTTTTTTAAACATAATAAGAAAGAATAATATATAATATTGTTGGCACATTTCCATCTTTCCAGACATCATCATCATCTAGCAGGTCCTTCTGCTATTATTTTTTTCCCGTCCGTCATGGTGCTTGATATGACAAAAGGCGGTCTTCCCCTTTCTCTCTTTCCACAGATCTTACCAGTAGTTACAACATGTTCCATTTTCCCTCTTCTCATTACGTGACCAAAAAATGATGACTGTCCTCCTGATGTTTGTGATAAGTTATCTTCGAGTATTTGCCTCTTTCAAAACATCTGGGTTGCTTTTCTTAGCAGTCCAAGAAATTCTAAGGATTCTTCTATAAAACCACATCTCCGAGGCCTTAAGATATTGTTCAGCCTGTTTATTAATTGTCCAGGCTTCACAGCGGTATGTTAAAATTGACTCCATATAGCATGGGAGAATTCTTTTCCTAGCCTCCATTGATACGGATTTATTGCATAAAATGTTCTTCATTTTGTAAAATGCAGTTTTGGCCTGTCCTATTCTATTCTTTATCACTGTGATACCTCTTCCATTGGATGTTTCCCATGTGCCTAGATACTTAAATTTCTGACTTGTCGCTATCAAGACCCTCATCAGCATAACGCATGGTGTTTATGTTATGACCACCAACCACAATTCCTGGCATATCCATGATAGATCTAATATTTTATATTCACTGTATAATGAAAACAAATCAGGTGATAGTGCACATCCCTGTCTTACTCCCCTCTCTGTAGGTCTACCTGGATATTATCTCTCCATAGTCTTCTTGGTCTGCCTCATGGCCTGTGTCCATTCAGCTCCCTTGTGTATGCAGTTTTACCTCTTGTCATCTGACATTCTCTCAATGTGCCCCAACCATTTCAGTCCATAAGCCCTCGTGATGCCAGTGATCAGCAGTGATTTAAACAGATTATGAATTTCATTGTTGCCTCTCATTCTCCATTCCCCACTGTTTGCATCTTTGATGAGTCCAAAGATTCGCCATAGACGCTGTTCTTGAAAATTTGCAGCTCTGATTACCTTTCCTATCTTGGTTTTTGGCTTTCAGCCTTCGAGCACTGGAAAGGCTGCCGTCCGATCGAGAATGGATAAATATACCATCCTCCTGATCTCGCTACAGACTATATGCCCCCTTAAAAGATTATAGTATGTTAAGGCTATGATGTATTTCCATGCGATGTCTTGATAATTTTTTTTTAAACTAAAGGTTATTATTATTGTTTAAAAATGAAAGATGTCAGTCGAATGCATTCCATTGTTTGTAACTAATATTTAATTGGTTTTGATGATGTTTATATTATGTAACCTCAGGTTGCCTACCTGTAAGACTTACATCAATTTTGGAATAGGCTTATTTTTATGCTCTCTAAAACGTTCAAGTAATGTCAGTATAAATGAGAACACATTCCAGCATGTGTAAGACTTAGATATTATACTTTTTTTCCCCTTTCTTTTTTTTTTTTTTTGGTACTTTTCTATATTTCTCACATTTTTAATTTTGCATTCCTCTTTTTATTATTATTATTATTAATATTATTGTTATTATTATTAACTATGAAATGAGGTAAAAATGAAAAATTGAATGAAAGGAGCGGAGTGGAAGGGCAGAATGTTAGACGGGCCTGCATGCCCAATTCTTAACCCTTTGAAAATAAAGTTTGTTCGTTCATTCGAAAGTCATGTTTCAGAAGAAGTGAAAAGTGTATTCTAAAGAGGGTAGGAGCAAGTACACATCCTTGCTTCATGCCATTGTTGAATCTAAATTCTTCCAGTGTTACACCATCAAAGTTGATTGTACCTTTCATACCTGTGTGGAACCACTCAATAATGATTGGTAGTGATAATACACAAGCGTGACAACACACCATTCACTGCATAAAGCTATCAATAACACTAGTTGAATAGAACACTTCCTAGTGTTGACTAAGTTAAGGGGGTCACTGTGTCGGAGCGTTTAAGGTGTTAGCCTTGTCCTTTGAAGGTTTTGGGTTTATTTCAATGACATCATCATCATCATGTGCCTTGCAGACTGGCGTGGGCAATCATGCCTTTCCACAATCCGCGATCTCCTGCAGCATGTATCACTTCCTTGCTGACACACCTCCATGCCATGCAACAAGACTATCAAGAATCTTTTCTCATTGTCTTCCTCTATGCCTCCTTCCATAGATCTTTCCAGTGATCACAACATGTTCCAGTTTCCCTCTTCTCATTACGTGGCCGCAAAATGATGACTTGTCTCCTTCTGATGTCTGTGATAATTTGTCTTCAGGCTCCCATCTCTTTCCAAACCTCTTAGTTGCTATTTTTGGCTGTCCAAGGTATTTTAAGCATATTTTCATGGGCTATCCTTCTTTTAACGGGCACATAATATGGCGGCCAAAAACACCCTAACAGGGCCTCAGTCACATGTAAAATGCTGACTTCCTGCACTTAAATTGCGGACTTCCAGTGACTACCGCCACCGCAGAGAGTATCTCCCACGCCGCTACGTGTGGCATAGAGTGGGGCTAAACTAGATGGCTGGGACTCACGAGCAGCAGCTACCGCATCTCCTGCAGCTTCCTTCATTTGATTTGCTCGTGAGTCTCAGCCATCTAGTTTAGCCCCGCTTCATGCCACACGTAGCGGCGTCGAGATACTGTCGGCGGTGGCAGTAGTTGCCTTAAGTCCGCAATTTACATGTGACTGAGGCTATGTCAGGTTGTGTTTTTGGCGGCCATAATATGTGCCCATTATTCGGAGGATAGCCTAATTTAGATCAAAAGTGCAGTTTTATGAAGATATGCAGTAGTGTTGGACTCTGATAACTAGGCCCTGCTGCCCGCTCTAAGCATCAGTTCCCATAACTTTTTGACCCTACTAATGTAGCTTTTTTCGTTATTTTTTTAAAGTGTATTTTGTTGTTATTGTAAGTGCGGATTGTTAAAAGTGGCAGAGGTTGTAAGTTCAAGAGAAGGTGTATTAAACCTATTTCCCATACTGCTGTATTGGATCAGAAACCTAGAAATTGCTTGCAGAAAAAAAATAATTGCTCATCAGCTGCATTAATTAACTGGAGCCTGCCAACAAGGAAAAACAATTTAAATAATATGACAGAATAATTAATGCAGATTTAGAGTACAGAACTAAACAAATTCCACTGAGTTAAGTAATAAGTAAGAGGTCTAGAAAAGATACGGTTAGAAATTTCCTCCCTGTGTTGGCCTCTATCATAGTTTTTCTTATTCAGTTCTTCCATTCCCCCTTGTGGGTTCCGGGGCCATATTATAGGGACAACAAGAATAGACCCACTACTTACCCAAAAGCATGTCGTAAGAGTCAACTAATTGGGAGCTTCCTTCAAAGTCGGAGTGCATCTGCCTGAGAGGCAAGGAAACAACAGTCTGCATACAGGTGTGTCAGATCTGTCAAACGGATGCACGTGCAACATTCAGGTTCTGGAACAGGACTGCAGTCCAGAAGTGGACAAACAACCAGAACTTTCCACCAGAGTTTACAGCTGGTGAACGCAAAGAAGAAAAAGTAAAAGGTCTACAGCTGTCTCTTGCACTACTTTGATTGTCCACGCAGCATTTACCCTCTCTGTCAGCATCAGTCTTAAATACCCGCAGTCTTTAAAGAAAAAATTGAATCCTCTACTCATTTTTTGTTGTTCTTGCTTTTTCTATCTTCATCCTTAAAAAAAGGTTAGCACATTGTATTGTGGTTTGCAGCTAAGCTGTGATTTTTGCCTTTTTTCACCTTTCAGCATTCTTAATTAGTCACCTTTTATGACATGCTGCTTGTTCCGTGGCAGTGGGTCTCCCCCCCCCCCCCCATAAAACTAAAAGGCCTGGAACCCACATGGGAAGAACCCATGCAAGAAGAAAAACTAGTCAGCTTCCAACTTAAACGCTGTCACAAATGACACAATTAATGCTGTGGTTAGGTAGCTTTCTTTAGTATCCATGGTCAATTATTCAAGGATGTAAAAGTCTGCATATAATAATTCAGCTTTGTGGATGAAGCCAGTTTTGATCTTTCCTGTTATTACAACATTTTGAAACCTTCTCTTATTTGTCATATTGCGACCAAAGTCATTGCAGTTTTCATGCCTTGTTGTAGATCAGTAGATCAGGGGTTCCCAATTGACCAAAACCTGTGGACTCCTCCTTTATTTTTTTGTTTTGTTTAACTATTTGCCCTGACCCCATACTTTTTAATAGTCATACTGGAGAATTTATTTTTATAAATATTAGACACCAAACAGGCACAGAAGTGGGAAATAAAAGGATTGAGGAAGCAAAGACTCAAAAAAAAAAAAAAAAAAAAAAAAAAAAAATTACAACCTAAAACAAACCATGTGAGAGACCAAAGGTGCTGCACTGGATTCTATCCTTGAAATTGAATTGATTGCACAGGATAAAATGGAAAAGAGGAATGAACAGATAGCCCTATTAATAGCGGGAGTCGCCGTGGCGCAGTGGATCAGAAGGTTGTGGGTTCGTTCCCTAGCGGAGCCTGACTTTTCTTAAAAAATGACCTGGCTCCCAGGTCGTCCCAGCCTTGAGTGGGTACCGGGTGCAGTTCTGGGAAGTAGAGGCGGCCGGCGTGATGCTGACCACATCACCCATCTTGTGCCGTTGGTCTATAAAAATATAGGTCTAGCCCTATATGCCCTGTACGCTTAAAGGCATGGAAAAGGGTCCTTTACTTACTTTCTTTACTTACCTATTAATAGCACAACATGAGAATGATGTTGTTAAATATTGCAGTCACAAATAAGATTACATTCTAAAGTTGAGGTTTTCTTTGTGTAAATTATTTCACAAATTTTTCAAATTTCTTCAAAGGACTTTCATATGGTAAAGACTGATAAAGGTAATTATCTGCTTATGTTGTTTATGGGAATATTCCGGAAGCTGTGATAGCTCTTCAGAACTCAACTCGACTCAGCTTATGTGGATAAGATATGAAAATATCCTCATCCGGTCTGTGTAAATAATTAAACATTCGTATTTTCTGGTCTATTTTTAGGTGTCGGGAAAAGCAGTCTACTATTAAGATTTGCTGACAATGTATTTTCAGGTAAGTCAAGTGTAAAGTTCTTCTTATTAATATATTAATATTCAACATTGGCAGAAAGTTCTGGTTGTTCTTCCACCTCTGAATTTTATAGTCCTATTCTAGAACTTGAGTTTTGCATGCACATCCATTTACAGACCTGGCTTATTTATATGCAGGCTATTGGATCCTTGCCTCTCAGGCAGACGCACTTCGATTTCAAAGGAAACACCCCTAATTAGTTGACTTTTACGACATGCTTGTTGGGGGCAGTTGATCCATTCTTTTTTGTTGTGTTACAATGAGGTCCCAGAAACAACAGAAATGAAATGTCTAGAACAAATCTTAAATGTAACAAGAAAGACAGGATCAGAAGTGACGATATCTGGAAATTAGTTGAGACTGAACCAGTACTAAACGACATCAAGAGACAGCTGGTCAGATGGTTTGGACATGTTCTACCACCAGATAGTGCACTACAGAGAAGCCTGTCACTTAGACACAATAGAAGCAGAGCTGAAAGTCGACCACACATGCAAAATAGGTGTGGAATATCTCAGGCCGTAAATACCAGCATGTGCTTGGCACACCTTAGTGCTCTCACTCGATGCATCTTCAAAACCTGAAGCTGAAGGGCAGAACAGAACTCGAAAAGAAGAAGAAAGAGAAGACTTTTCCAGCTGTTTGTTACTTCAACTCCTCTCTCACAGTATTATTATTTTAACTCACTGTAAGTCAAGCATTTATTATTTGAAATAAACACAGTATTGGAGAGAATGAGTTAAATAGTATTTCTGGTATTGACAGAGTTAATACTACCCATTTAATAAATAACCCTGCCTCTCATCATCATCATGTAGCAGGTCCTTTGCAGAATGTCGCTCTCATCACAGTCTGCCTAAAAGAAACTCGGTCTCTCGTCAGTTCTCCCGCCTCAGGTACTTTCATACTCAAGGAGTCACTTATATCCTGTGCCCATCTTCGTGTCAGTTGGCCCCTGCTTCTCCTTCCTGGTACCATGCCTTCTGCTATAATTTTTTTCAGTCTGTCATGGCGCTTGATATGACCAAAATATTTCACCTTCAGAGACAGGATTCTGTTTATTAGCCAATCTTCCTTGATGTTCAGATCTTTCAAGATGTCAGTATTTCTCCTCTTCTTTGTCAAAGATATTCTGAGAATCTTTCTGTAGCATTTCATCTCAAAAGCCCCTATTCCCTTTCTTAAGGACTGAGAGATAGTCCACGACTCACATCCGTATGTAGCCACAGGGAAGATGCATGCTATTAAAATTCTAATTTTTATCTCCTTGCTGGTGCTTAACCATAGACTTTTAAGGCTGTTCAATCTTTGCATTGCTATTGCCATCCTGTTTTTAATTTCTGTCAAACAGTCTCCATTGCTGGAGTACTTTAGTCTTGTTCTAGAACTTTTGTTTAGCATGCAGATCCATTTTATAGATCTGCCTCTACTGAGGATTAAATCCAGACGGTGATCCAGATTCAATCCCCTGAGCGGTGGGTCAATCATTACAGCTCTGGGATTGATCCTGTCTTACAAAATAGGCACCATAATTTTATTTTTGTGATTTGGCTGGAAAGGAAATTACCAGGTCACCTTTAGCAAGTCGTGGCTTAGAACAAGTATATTCAATTAAGTTTACTTATGGGTCAAACTCTCAAAAATGAGGATCATAATGAGCAAGAAGATGGAGCCCCAGTGTAGAAAAATCCTTAATGCAATACAACTGGTGATGATCCGCGGGCCACTAGCTATGCCTCTGTGTGTCAGATTTGGCTTGCAGCCGCCACTTGAATAGGTCTGGCCTAGAACAGTAGTTCCTAAATAGCTGAGAGATCTGCAAACCCTTCTTATATTCAAGGGTTTGCAACTGACCTCGTACTTTTAAATCATACTGAATCAGTCAGTCAGTCAGGTGATGTCTCCACAATAAAGGTTGGTTGCAATGGATCTCCAACACGTACTGTCTCCTATCTTGATAGTGCACTCTTTCAGACTGCTGTTTCTCCATCTCTTGACGTTGTCCTGCCGCTTGTATCATTGTCTACCTCTTGCCTTCGACATTTCCCTCCAGGGTGGTTTTTAAAAAAGAGTTTTGTGTCATTTATTGTGGCTGAAATATTTCAGTTGTCTCTAGTTTATTTCTTAAACTAATTGTCTTTCCAGGCTCTCCAGAATCTCTGTATTTGTTTTTTTGGGTCTCTCAGATCCTACCCAGTTCTGTAAAACGAATGTGCATGCAAAAGTCAATTTATGTATTTCTGTAACAAGACCAAAGTCTAAAAGTGGATGAACAGCCAGAACTTTCTGGATTTTACAGCTGATAAATGCTAAAAAACAAGAAGAAGAAGAAGAAGAATATGTGATGTCACAGAAAAAAAAATTATACAGCATTTTACACCCTGATGGTATGTATGTATTCTGTAAGATTGCTTTGACCATCATCTCTTTCTTAGGGACATACATAACAACTATTGGAGTTGACTTTAAAATTAGAACCATTGATATAAATGGAGAACGAGTCAAGCTTCAGATATGGGACACAGCCGGACAGGAACGCTTTAGAACAATTACGTCAACGTAAGTTGCTGTTGTATCTGTTTTTGTTTGTCTTAAAAGCGTGGTTTTTGAGTCATAATGTATACTGTTATTGTTTTATTTTCTTTTGCTCCTCACTGTAGGTAGGTAGTTGTATCCCAGCAGGACATCACACAAGCGATAAACTCCCAATGCCACCATGCAAATGAGGATCACCCGTGGATAGGTCCCAGAAACCCCTTTCAGCTGTTAGGCCATAAATGGCCCGGCTAAATATAGGGCCCCCTGGCAAAAGCCTGGGTGGGGCTTCAAAATAACAAAAAAATTGCATCCCACGAATGAACTTCTTATGATACACCAAACTGTAGAACAGGGCTATTCAACTAGGTTTGCTTAGGGGACAAAATGTTGAAAAAGGAGTCTCGTCACAGACCAGTGGCTTGACCCCAAGCATAGAAAGATCATTAATAGAATACTACTGGCTGTGGTCCATGAGTTGCTTACCAGGGCTCTGGGGGCTGCCAGTTGAAAAACCCTGGTGTAGGATGTAAAGAAATCTGGCACAACAGTTGAATAACCCTGGTGTAGGATGTAAAGAAATCTGGCACCACAGTTGAATAACCTGGTGTAGGATGTAAAGAAATCTGGCACAACAGTTGAATAACCCTGGTGTAAGAAGTAAAGAAATCTGGCACAACAGTTCAATAACCCTGGTGTAGGATATAAAGAAATCTGCCACAACAGTTGAATAACCTGGTGTAGTATGTAAAGAAATCTGGCACAACAGTTGAATAACCCTGGTGTAGGATGTAAAGAAATCTGGCACAACAGTTGAATAACCCTGGTGTAGGATGTAAAGAAATCTGCCACAACCGGATGATTTTGTTGTTTCTGCAACGTTTTTTGTTTTTGAATACTGATGAAGGTTTTTTTTGTTTGTGGCGCCCAGTCTGTCTCCCTGCAGTGATATTCTTGAAAAGCTGACCAGTTTTACTTTATTTTCATCAGTGGCTGGGCTTTTGTCTAGATACGAAAGGTGCCTATACTCACCACAGTGTGATTAAAAAAGGTGCCGGTATTTATCAAAAAGTGTATATCACAGCACTGAAAAAATGATGCCTTAGAAAAGGTGCTGGTACTACATACCGTTTCATACCGCCAAACCTGGTCAGTGGACTCATGTGCAATAAAAGGAAATAATTAACAGCTGAAATAAATGACAAACACACGTTTGGCAGAACACTTAAAAAATTTGAGCATGCAACCAGTGAGGTAATAACAAAAGTGTGTTGTTTAAGGTAACAACTCCAAGTGCCCTGGCTGTTTGTTTAAGGTATACTAATGTATATGCTTTTGGTTTTCCCCCTGCAAGCATAAACACGACCACTGCCTGCAAGTTTGAAGTATGTGTACACCAGGAAGTCAAAATACAGGTCGAATGTAACAGAGAGCTTGGGGAGGGTTGTTAGCGTGGGCACTGACCTGAGTTGTGTTGTGCCGGTTATGTACTTTGTCTCAGTTCATTGATGTGCAGAAGAGTTAGAAGAAGAACGGAGCACTTATGGGTTACTACCCGTGTGCCATGATGTTGATCCGTTGCTCAAACCTCAAACAGATCATGGAGCTGAAGATCTTCTTCCCTTTCTCTTTTATCGTTGCGGTTGTTGAGGGGGGGGGGAGTATAAGATTCTGCTTCTGGCTCTTTTAGTCACCTGGACCATAGACACATCATGCTGCTGTAGATTTGTGATGTTAATAACATTGCCGTGGTCCATAACCGTTTCATCAGTCTTTTGTATCTCCTTTTATTTTCTATAGCAATAATAAATTCAGTGCTAGTATGCTAGGCCTGTCACAACTTTATCGGAGTCCCATTTGACAGGACATATCGGGTTGACCCATGATGGTCTTCGTGGCTACAATAGCGGCCCCATGGTACAAGGCCAAACCACAAGCTGAAAGTCAGGGGTTCAAATCTTGATGTAGGGAAGTAAATCATGGGCACCCGGTAAATTTGTAAGAAATATACAGAAGCCACAGAAAGGGTTTGCAGTTAATTCCTTAATTCTGTCTGTCCTGTGCGGTCTTTTCGATATGTCTAAGATTCATCATCATCAAGTGCATTGCTTACTGGCATTCGTGATCATATCTCTCTACAATCTGCGATTTTCAGCAGCATGTATCAGTTCATGTGCTGACACCATGACACAAGACTGTCAAGAATTTCTCGCGTTGTCTTCTTCTGTCTCTTTTTCCCTGCACATTTTTTCCCAGGGTCACAACATGTTCCAGTTTCCTTCTACTCACAACATGACCAAAAAAAAAAAATGATGGCCATCTCTTTCTGTTGTTTGTGATAAGTTGTCTTTGGGTACTTACCTTTTTCAAAACATCTGGGTTGCTCTTCTTAGCTGTCCAAGGAATTCTAAGGATTCTTCTCTAAAACCAAATTGTGACATTAATCATGCTGTGACAACTACAGAGTTAATGAAAGTAGCAGAGACATATAATCGATCGACAATTCAGTCAAGGCAACAACAACAAATCTCAACTTCTATTCTTGAATACTAGTTTTTGTCAATTTCTTAATCTCCGGTTGGGTGGGTTGTCACCATTTGACTGCACCATGTCATTGCCACAGTCAGATGGTGCTCATGTCCTGAAATGATAGAATTGAAAAAAGAAAACGGTCTTTGCTGCCTGTGTGTACACTTTATTTAGGTTGGTCTCGGATGGGATAGAGGAGTCGTGAGCCTGATGTTTTAATGTAACATGGCTCGTGCAAGTGCCCATGAACACTGCGGGTTAGGATGTTATTTTTTTCTGCAGAAAGAAAAGTCATCATTAGAGGTACCTTGGAGTGGCTGCTCTATCAAAGGTCTGAGCATGCATAGGTGTTCAGTAACGTCAGTTGTGGTAACACAACATTTATCACCTTACTGTTCTTATAGTGGGTTAACTCGGAGAAAAAGATCACCTTACTGGATTGGCTAGAAGCGGCAGTGACACGGTACAACCAAATAGTGACTTAACCAACTAACAGCCTAAGACATTATTTCTATCTAGTATTCAAGGAAGGTGACTGGAGACACACACCAAATTCTCTCCCCAAGACTCGCTTGATTGCCTCTCTAGAGATGCACAGTGTATAATATTCAGACTAAGGACAGGGCACAACTCACTTTGTCAACAGATGTTCAAACTTTTTGGTATAGGAAACACTGAGACGTGTCTCTGCAGCGTGGCACCAGAAAATGCTGAGCACGGGCTCCAACACTGTCAACTGTATGCCAACAACAGAGACGCAATCTGGCCTGTTCCAATCACAATGAAGACAAAACTATACGGGAAGAATATGGACTGCACGATAGCTTTCATAAAGGCTACTAGCCTCCTGATATAAGTTTTCTGACAGAAGGATCGTAGAAGAAGACTGAGAATTCAATCCTGGGCCCCCAGAAGAGAAGCCCAGCATTCTTAACCGCTTTGCCAGCTGCTGCTCAGCTGAATAGATATTTGGCTGTAATTTAACTGGAGGAAGAAAAATGCCCATATGCAGCTTTGTGTTTGTGTTGATGCAGGTATTACAGAGGTACACACGGGGTTGTAGTTGTGTATGATGTTACTAGTGGTGAATCCTTCGCAAATGTACAAAGATGGCTGCATGAGATAGATCAGAACTGTGATGTGGTAAATAGAATTTTAGGTGAGTTACAATTTTTACTTTTGCCTGATTTATTCTTTAACTTCTTCTTTCACCTTTTACCCCTCGAGAGCTGCAGAAGTTTAAAGGAAAGACAATGCGAAATCACAAAAGTCTTGTCTCTTATCCATCAGTATCCAGTGGGTGTACATACATTTTAGTTATTTTATTCTTTGGTTTTCTCAGTGTATTTCCTATCCAACACCAGCCTCTTTTCCTCACCTCTAAATTTACTGGAATTTGTTTAGTTCCTTTCTAAAGCTCTACGTTAAGGAGTATTTGCTCAACAATAATGAGTCTTTGGGATATATCAACTATCTGAACTACTTGCCTGCTCATATTTTTAACGTCCACCCTGCCACAAAACAACACACACCACATATAATCAGTTATTCTGCATGTCACCTAAGCACACTTGATATGTGTTATGTTTTGTTATAGCTTGATATTTTACCATGCAGCTCAGTAGATATAATTTTTTTTTAAAGTGCGAGGGGGCTTCAAATTAAAACTTTAAAAGTGTGACAGAAATGACAGTAACCGTGACACAGTCTTGTAACCTATCAGTATTGTTGTTCATGAAACAGCATGACTTGATTCCTTGTTCATGAAACAGCATGACTTGATTCCCATGTTGTCCATGAAACAGCATTACTTGATTCCTTGTTCATGAAACAGTGTTACTTGACTCCCATGTTGTCCATTAAAAACAGCATGACTTGATTCCCCATGTTAATGAAACAGCGTGACTTGACTCCCCATGTTGTTAATGGAACAGCATGACTTGACTACCCACATTATCCATGAAATAGCATGACTTGACTCCCCATGTTGTTCATGAAACAGCAGGACTTGACTTTCCATGTTGTTCATAAAACATCATGACTTGACTTCCCACGTTGTTCATGAAACATCATGACTTGACTTCCCATGTTGTTCATGAAACATCATGACTTGACTTCCCACGTTGTTCATGAAACAGCATGACGCCCCATGTTGTTCATGAAACATCATGACTTGACTTCCCATGTTGTTCATGAAACATCATGACTTGACTTCCCACGTTGTTCATGAAACAGCATGACTTGACGCCCCATGTTGTTCATGAAACAGCATGACTTGACTTCCCATGTTGTTCATGAAACATCATGACTTGACTCCCCATGTTGTTCATGAAACATCATGACTTGACTCCCCATGTTGTTCATGAAACATCATGACTTGACTCCCCATGTTGTTCATGAAACATCACGACTTGACTCCCCACGTTGTTCATGAAACAGTATGACTTGACTCCCCATGTTGTTCATGAAACATCATGACTTGACTTCCCACGTTGTTCATGAAACATCATGACTTGACTCCCCATGTTGTTCATGAAACATCATGACTTGACTTCCCACGTTGTTCATGAAACATCATAAGTTGACTTACCACGTTGTTCATGAAACATCATGACTTGACTTTCCATGTTGTTCATGAAACATCATGACTTGACTTCCCATGTTGTTCATGAAACATCATGACTTCCCATGTTGTTCATGAAACATCATGACATGACTTCCCATGTTGTTCATGAAACATCATGATTTGACTTTCCATGTTGTTCATGACACATCATGACTTGACTCCCCATGTTGTTCATGAAACATTATGACTCCCCATGTTGTTCATAAAACATCATGACTTGACTTTCCATGTTGTTCATGAAACATCATGACTTGACTTCCCATGTTGTTCATGAAGCATCATGACTTGACTCCCCATGTTTTTCATGAAACATCATGACTTGACTTCCCATGTTGTTCATGAAACATCATGACTTCCCATGTTGTTCATGAAACATCATGACTTGACTCCCCACGTTGTTCATGAAACATCATAACTTGCCTTCCCATGTTGTTCATGAAACATCATGACTTGACTTCCCTTTTTGTTCATGAAACATCATGACTTGACTCCTGACATTGTTCATGAAACATCATGACTTGACTTCCCACAATGTTGATGAAACATCATGACTTGACTCCCCATGTTGTTCATGAAACATCATGACTTGACTCCCCATGTTGTTCATGAAACATTATGACTCCCCATGTTGTTCATAAAACATCATGACTTGACTCCCAATGTTGTTCATGAAACATCTTGACTTGACTTTCCATATTGTTCATGAAACATCATGACTTGACTTCCTATGTTGTTCATGAAACATCATGACTTGACTTCCCATGTTTTTCATTAAACATCGTGACTTGACTCCCCATGTTGTTCATGAAACATCATGACTTGACTTCCCATGTTGTTCATAAAACATCATGACTTCCCATGTTGTTCATGAAACATTATGACTTGACTTCCCATGTTGTTCATGAAACATCATGACTTCCCATGTTGTTCATGAAACATCATGACATGACTTCCCATGTTGTTCATGAAACATCATGACTTGACTTCCCACGTTGTTCATGAAACATCATGACTTGACTTCCCATGTTGCTCATGAAACAGCCTGACTTGACTCCCCACATTGTCCATGAAACATTGTGACTTGACTTCCCATGTTGTTCATGAAGCAGCATAACTTGACTTCTAATGTTGTTCATTAAACAGCATGACTTGACTTCCCATGTTGTTCACGAAACAGCAAGACTTGGCTCCCAATATTGTTCATGAATTGATACATGCAATTTCATAGATTTCAATTGTCATATTTATTCATTTCAGTTGGAAACAAAGATGACGATCCAGAAAGAAAAGTAGTCCTCACCCAGGATGCTCAAAGGTTTGCCGAGCGCATGCAGATCCAGTTGTTTGAAACCAGTGCCAAAGAGAATAAAAATGTGGAAGAGGTATGGGTTTTATTCCTGTTGTTGTGGATATTATTTTGTGAATCCTCTCTAACAGTGGTTCTCAACCTTCCTATTGCGGGGACCTTTTAATACAGTTCCTCATGTTGTGGCGACCCCCCCAACCATACAACTATTTTCGTTTCATAACTTCAGTCAACTTGTGTTTTTCGATGGTCTTAGGTGGCCCCTGTGAAAGGGTCGTTCAACCCACAAAAGGGTCGTGACCCATAGGATAAGAACTGCTGCTCTATAAACCTTTAAAGCAGGGGTGGGGCACATCCAGCTTGTGGCTATTTAAGACTCACAAAATCATTTGGTCTGGTCCTACCATGGCAACCACAGTGAAATATTTTGACCCACTGTAAGTTAGTGGCATATCCTTTACAGGCGTCGCCAGCCCAGGCATTTGTTGACTGTTCGTGGGGTTTTGCTGGGCTGTTTTGCATTCCCTATTTTGCTGTCGCTTCTGAATAGTTAAAAGCTCGCCTTCTTCAGCATTCGGAGCCCTTAAAGTTCACTGCTGCAGATATTGCTCGCCTCCATCCTCTCTGTGATTTCTTAGGAACTCGTACCATTGTCAAAATCAATGCAAACTGTATACTGTCATCCACAGCTGACTTTGGGCCCTAGTGTGTTGTAATTATGAAAATGTATTAATAACCTTTAAGCTACAGATAGCAGTAGACCCAACAAAGAAAGCCAATTTTCAATTTGATAATTTTGTATGGATCCTGAAGTATGTTATCCAAAAAAACTTTGACTTAAAAACAAAAACAAAAAAACAGTTCTGCACCCCTGCAACCCCCAGAAAAAAGGTCAGGGGTGGGGAGGTCAATTTTAGCCTGTGGGTTCCGGGTCACATGGCTAGTGCCTGGAGTCTTTGATAGTAATACATTTGGGATTTTTGTGCATGATGTTGTTCCCCCTTTTGGTCATCTGCTGGGAAACATAGGACAGGAAAAGTGAATAAGTTTTATGTGTTGGAAAGTAATACTGGGTTTTTGTGCTGTTTTTGCATGAACTTTTATTGTTGGAGTAGTTTATGTGTTGTACTAGGTGATTTTTGTATTCTCTTCTGTTTTCTTCATTCGTATTTGCTTTGTAAAGGGTTTATGAAGTCTGCTATCCCAGTCCTAGCTTGCAATACAAAAGAATTAACTAGTACTTTAAGAGACAAATGTAGACTAAATTCATTAAATAATTTAAAAGTGGACTGTCAAGATTTTGGGACACAATATGAGCAAACATGAGCTTGAAGAAATATCACAGACTTCTTCATGTTCAACGGCTGTAAACTCTGGCACAAAGTTCTGGTTGTTTGTCCACTTCTGGACTTAAGTCTTGTTCCAGAAATTAAGATTTGCTTGCACATCCGTTCTACAGGTCTGGCTTATTTGAATGTAGACTGTTGGTTCCTTTGCTCGTGGGCGGATGTAGTCCAGCATTGAAGAAATCCCTTAATTCAGTGGCTCTCAACCTTCCTAAGGTGGCAATCTTTTAATACAGATCCTCATATTGTGATGACCCCTAACCATACAATTATTTTCGTTGCTACTTCATAACTTCAGTGATATGTGTTTTCCAATGGTCTTTGGCAACCCTGTAAAAGGGTAGTTCAACCCACAGAATGGTCGCGGCCCACAGGTTGAGAACCGCTGCCTTAGTTAGTCGACTCTTACAACATTCTTGTTAAGGAGGCAGTAGGTCTATTCCTGTCTTTTTTACCTGCCATAGGGTCCCAAAACCCACATGGGGGTCCCAAAACCCACATGGGGGATCAGCCAGACAAAAAGTAGTACTAGTCAGCTTCACATGATCGCACTTGCAACAAATGAACATTGTGGCTAGAAAGCCTTCATCAGCGTATGATACAAATGGACAGCCATACAAACAAGAATGCACCAAATCATTTAACTGTAAGTTGAAGTGCCTCACAGAAACATCTATAACACATCAGGAAAGAAGAAGTTGAGTCATATGTAAGGTTAAATAAGGGCCGCTTTAGCAAGAAGTACTGATCCATGTCGAATAAAACTGGGTGCAATTTAGTTAACTCTCTCATCTTTAGACCCATTATTTTTCTGTAAGGGTTATGGTAACACCTGGCAAGGAAATAAAAAAGTCAACACTGTTTCCTCAAAAAAAGCCCATGTCTTACATTAATTGTTACAAAAAAACACACACAAAAATAGGGTTTATTTTTCTGGGAATATATCCCCAACCCCCAGATTTACAAAAAATCGAAATTTTTTTCATGAATAGAATTCTACACTTATTCAAATACAGCCATGTCTTCTTCGGGAACATCATCATAACTCTCCAAATCTGTACCTTGAATTATGAAGCACTTCTGTTAATTACCGAGTGCACACCAGTGTGGTCTGTACTCTGACTGGCCATTGTGGCAACAAGTCTCATTCTAGCTGATGATATTGTCCACGGCTTAGTTTTGGGGTAGGGCTTATATAAAAAAAAAATTCTGGAAAAATCATGCTAGGGCTTATATTTTGGGGTAGGTCTTATATTTTAGGGTAAGGCTTATATTTTGGGGTAGGTCTTATATTTTAGGGTGAGGCTTATATTTTGGGGTAGGTCTTATATTTTAGGGTAATGCTTATATTTTGGGATAGGTCTTATATTTTAGGGTAAGGCTTATATTTTGGGGTAGGTCTTATATTTTAAAGTAAGGCTTATATTTTGGGGTAGGTCTTATATTTTAGGGTAAGGCTTATATTTTGGGGTAGGTCTTATATTTTAGGGTAAGGCTTATATTTTGTGGTAGGTCTTATATTTTAGGGTAAGGCTTATATTTTGGGGTAGGTCTTATATTTTAGGGTAAGGCTTATATTTTGGGGTAGGTCTTATATTAAAAACATTCTTTGGGGCTTATATTTTGGGCTAGGTCTTAATTTCTGGAAAACCCAGCATGTAGTGATTTATTTGGTATAAAATGAATGAAGAAATTAAGAGTTAACTGTAGTCATTGATCTGTGGGAGAATACTTGCTTGGCAATGAAATTATTGTGTTTGTTTTATGTGTGACCCTTGCACCATAATCTGTTTCTTATTGTTCTGGTTTATATTTGTTTTATTTCTTCAGCTCAGTTCATTTTTTTGTGTTACCATTTTTTGTCCTGATTAGATATATATTTAATTTCTGCAAAGCATAAGTGCTAAAGAACAAACTTTGGATAAAATAAAAATAGAACTACTGCCCCTCTAAGAAGCATATAGTAAAAGTTGACTAATTAGGTGTATGTATGTAAGTTGTACCCCACCAGGACATCACACAAGCGATAAACACTAGGTGACACAGAGTGCCACCATGCGGATGGGGAGGTCCCGGAAACCCTGATCAGCTGTTAGGCCATATTTATGGCCCAGCTATATTTAGGGCTCCCAGTGGGGGTGTCAAAATAAAAAAAATTGCACCCCACAAGGGGGCGGGGGGGGGGGGTGAATTGTATATAATAGGTGACTTTCCTTCAGTCAGGCATTACCTGAGAGGCAGGAACCAACTGTCTACTTAAAAATAAGCCAGATCTGTGAAACAGACATGCATGAAAAACTTCGAATCTGGAAGAGGGCTGAAGTTCAGAATGGAAAAGACAACCAGAACTTCCTGGCCATATTTTACAGCCTGTAAAGGCGAAGAAGAAGAAGAACAAAAGAACATACTCTGTTATTCAAGAATTGAGAACATGTTATGTTGGTCCACGTAACATCCTGCTCCCAGTGTGGTTTTTATGAGTGCCATTCCTTTTCTCTTATCCCTGAAATATTTTCAAATTGTAACATTCTTAAAAATAAAAGTAAAATTACGCCAGTAAAACACTCCCTGATAAGACCTAAATCAGCAGGAATAACTTTACAGAGAACAGTCTGGCAAATTGAAGAAGTAGCTTTAAGGTGATAGACATGCACATTAGCGCACTCGATAAGAATATGGACTGCACGATAGCTTTCATAAAGGCTTTAAAATCCAGCTGCAACTCGCTGCAGCCCACGGTCGGTGTTCGAAACCGGGCGGTTCCCGGGGTTCACCCAGCCTCTAGGAATTGGGTAGCAGTGTTGACACTCTGGAGTAAATGGAGGAACGTCACTGTAGCTACAGAGTTACGTGCGAACGGCGTCACAGGCGGACAGTTTCTTATCAGCTGTCCGTACTGGTGGCTGATCACCTGTGGTTTATAACTGTGTGCAATGACGCTGGTTCACATCTCCAGACTTTACCTTTTTACTTTTAGACATGTTGTCATTTTGGGGGTGGGGAGGGGGGGGGGGGGGTGAAAATCCAAACCTGCACAGTTCAAACGGCCCTAAATTCTCACCTCTAAGACACTCCCATCCCATGCCCCCTCCCTCTTTCTGTGCCACCTTTAAGAGTAGTATATTTTAAATTTGAAGTCTTCATTAGCTGCTGAAGATGAGGACTGAGTGCTTTTGGGAATGTCCCAAGTGCTTTGATTATAGTTGTTAGCTCAATACACACACAAACACAAAAAGATATGTACAGTCTGTCTTCAAAATTATGTTACCACTTTGTTATACATTCCATTATTGTTTGGTTTGGTTTGGTTATGTTCTTAACTTTGAGCGGCACCATATTCCCCTTTTATACGTGTTCACATTTTCCTTTTGTTGCCTTGTTTTCCTGCTTATGTTCACACCCTTTATTTTGTTTCCGACCCCATTTACCCCACCCCGCTGAGCAGATGTTTAGGGCGATTACCAAACTGGCCCTGGACGCCAAGAAAAAGCAGCAGCGGGAGGCACAGAGAGCCAATGACAACACGATACAGCTGGGCTCAACGAAATCGGCAAAGAAGAAAAAATGTTGCTAGCATGGATTGTTTGCTTAGAATGTAATCCTTTTTGTAGTATAGTTTATCCTTTGTTGTTTGATTGGTGTTATATTTTATCCTTTGTTGTTTGATTGGTGTTATATTTTATCCTTTGTTGTTTGATTGGTGTTATATTTTATCCTTTGTTGTTTGATT